TCCCCTCCTCCCACACCCTGCAGTTAAGTTTGTGGGGAGGGAAGGGAGGGGGCAGACTGAGGCAGAGGGAGGAAAAAAAATGATTTGGGGGCATGCCTCCACAGCAGGTAAGTCCCACCTGGCTGGGGCCCCACTCAACTTATCCCTGCTCCTGCCTCTGTGGCACTGTCCCTCACCGTGGGGGGCCTTGATCTAGCCACGGCCCCTTCCCTCCCCTATGGACTGACCTGCTGGGCTGGGGCACATGCTTGCATACACGTGGGCATTCAGCCCCCCACCCCAGCCTCTGATCAACTCAGAGAGGCTCCAAGATCTACCGGTGGATCAAGATCCACTGGTTGGTGACCAATGTCTTAAAAGGACAGCATCCCTTTAAAGAGTCATTTGACTCATAAGGCATTTATACACATACTCTGGGAAGTGAAGAGCGGGGGGTACTTTAAATTAGAGTGGCTCCAAAAGCTTTAAAGTGCCCCTGCCACCATTTTTCAGCATAAGGATACTGATGATACATGTGCTGCTGGAGTGCGGTAATTACCATGCTCCATGCTGTAATTACAGCATGTTGGAGCAGACTTAATGGACATGTATAGGCGCCCATGGTGCTGGAATCATAGACAGTTTAGAGCCATGCAAGGAATAACACCCAGACATGGACTCTGATAAGCCAGCCTCCTCAGGTAGTGTCAGAGTAATCAGACCAGGAACTAGCATGGCCAGCATACAACACTGATGCCATAAACAAAGCATAATTGTGGCCATCACAGGTTTCAAGTACTGATTCTGTGGAATATAAAGATATTTAGTGCCTTAGGGGAAGAAAGCAGGCTGTCAAGACTACACGCATGACTAGAGTGGTGGCAGCAAGCCTTTCATGCTCCATCCTGGTGTTGGCTATCCTAGAGGTGCAGAGCAACCGAGAAGCACCTATGCCAGGGGTCAGTAACATTTTCTGGTAGGTGGCTAGAATGAATCACCTTGAGTTGGGGGACGGCAAGGCTTAAGACACAGCCCACCTCTGCTGCTTCTCCCTGCTGTCTTTGCTGTGGTGCAGTGCAGGGACAGCTTCCCTTCCACCAGAGCTGTCGGTACAGCACAGGGAGCCCCACCCCTCCTCCTGCACACTGCCAAATGCCAAAGCCATGGCTCCACATGCTGTATTTTGCTGATCCCTGCCCTATGCCATTTATTACTAGTGTTCTTAGCAACAGACCTATGATGATCATTGTAAATGGAGGACAGTACTGGAACACTGGTACCACAGCCACTGTGAACGTCAATGATAACTATACCAGGCTGTGATATTTAGGACTTAGGGAGGCAAGATGACAGTGTGGCATACTTCCTTAAGGAGCCAAGCACAGGTGACCTCCTGCAGGAACCAGGTCTTGGATCTGCAACCTGTAGCTGATCTCTGGATTGTTTCCATGGCCAGTGCCAGTGGAGCAGAGGTGCCACTCAAAGCCTCTGGATCCATGGTTGGAGGTGAAACCCATTCAATGTTCTCAGTGAGCCATAGCCAAAAAGACAAGCTCTACAGTCTTTACAAGTGCCCAGTGTAAAGGAGAAGAAAATGTAGCATTTCTCGGGAATGTTGGATTATTCTAAACTTACCCCAGGGAACAAAAAGTAATGGTTGAATATTAAAAAGCATTAAAAACCCTCCTAGTTTAGCTAACCACAAAGGGAAGAAAAAATAAATATAAAGTAATAGCTTGCAATGGAAAAAGCAACCTGCAAGACTAAGAACCCAGGAAAAAGTAGAAGTGTGGGGGAAAAGAGAAATAATGAAAAAGCAAAATAAAATAAATAACAGGAAGTTATTTCAGAATGATTGCAGGCCATGGGCAGAAGCCAAAAATGATCTCTCTCTAGCCAGGCAAGTGAAAGGAGCTAGAATTGCCTACTCCAAAAGCTACCAAAACTGCTACAGCAAAGTAACAGTTTCGAGGCGGTGTTTCGGCTTGGTGTTTCAAGGCAGGCTTCGGCTTCCTTGATCACGACCGCCACA